GACAGTAGGCTGATCTGAAGAGTAGGTAGAAAAGTATCAGGAGAAGGTATAGTGATAGGTGACAAGAAGGAAATAAAAGTAAAGCACAAGATACAACATTTCTCCATCTCAGGAGCTGTAACTTTCTGAGGGCTCTAAAGCCACACTCCTCCAGAGCAACCTGTGAGACAACAGCCTCAAGGCAGGAACAAGTTTAATTCCATTTTTTTCTACTATGCAATAATAAAATTGGTCATAACTATTTTCTTACTTCGTCTGTTTATTCACCACTATCACAGAACAATCCACAGGTCTCTCTGCATCAAAACGTCTCTTGATTTCCTCGTAGTACTGACGGTACAACTCCTCTCGGCGCCGCTCCTCACGCTTCAGACGGTCTGAAAGTAAGCCACAGGGACAGAACAAATAATGCCCTTTGGACCTGCTTAGAGCATCACAGAATGCAACGCACTCGGTACTGCAGGCATCTCCCGCATCCTCCCAGAGGGAGCATGTGAATCTGCCCATTATAATGTTACAGGTACTCACCTTCTGAATTCGCTGGTGCTCTATCAAAATGCTCTTTGTAACGGTCGTAGTAAGAGTCATCCTTCCGCCGATAGTAGTCTTCAAGGCGAAGGTAACGGTCATAAGCTTCATCTCGTCTGCAACATGTACAGAAGAAGCAAGGGTTTCCATGCTCCAGCACAATCTCAGGCAACAACTTTTGCCAATGCATCACACACAGACCTTCCTCAAGTTTAATTTCTGAAGCACCCACCTGCTCCCCACGAGACACAAAGCAGGCGCCCAACTGTCCCCAGCCAGAGCAATTTCCTTATCTTAAATGCCTGACACCACTCAAACCAGTACAGCCATTGAGGTAGGATTGCCATAAAAACATGTTGGCAAATACAATCCCGCGGAAATTACCTGTACAAAGGGTCCCGAGGGTCTCTCATATCCCGTGGATCCCTCATATCCCGTGGATCCCTCACATCTCGTGGATTCCTCATATCCCGTGGATCCCTGTATCGATCATAGAGCGGCTCCCGTGGGTCACGAAGATCTCTAACATCACGAGGGTCCCGCAAGTCTCTTGGATCCCTGATATCCCGTGGGTCTCGCAGGTCCCGTGGGTCCCTGTGGTCACGCATGTCTCTAGCTCGAATGTCTCGAGTGTCTCTGGAATCTCGCCCGTTTCTACCATCCCTGCCATCTCTGGGGTCTCTCCGTGGGCTCCCCCGAAGAGGGGAGCGGTCGCGTCTGGCATCTCGGCCATCCCCGTAGGCATATGGCTCTCTGAGGAAAACACCAGGTAAATTCCATTAGACTGCTAATGACACAAGTACTGTTACCCCTAGATCTCTTACCTGAGGTGCCAAAGTGACCCTTCTCTCAGCAGCTGAATCCTCCCTCCTATCCCACAACAGCAAGAATTGCCCAAAAATCGTATTTGTTGAAGTAGTCTGGAGAAGCTTCTTAATTCCAATATTTATCATAGCCAAGCAAGAGCCAGAAAGCTCCTTAATGGAGCATCACTAGAAGTGTAGAGCACCTGTGGAAGAAGTGAACAGGCACCTCAGAAACTACTGTTTCAAGGCCTCTGGCCTCCAACATCAGCCTCTGATCATCTACCAAACAAGTTTTTGCAAACTCTTTGAGAGAATTCAAGGTGCTGGAGCCTAATACCCACAAATATGCAACAGCCAGGAACATTCAAGGGATCAATTAAATTCACTAGTCAATGACAGCAGAATACCTGAAATAATTTGTCATTGGCATATGATTAAAAAACGAGCTTGTTGTGACCAAAGACACTGGTTCCATGTTGTGGTTGGGTTTGTGCTGCTAGCAGAAAGCAATGATAGCTACCACCGTGTCCTGGATTTGAAGGGATAGTTTCCATAGAAAGCCAGTCTTATGTTTGTTTACGATGCCCCATGTTAAGAGGGTACTAAACCCAACCAGCATGGCATCCTCAGCAGCAACAGGCTTCTCTGTCACATCTGAATGCTCCATCTCATTCAGACTTTGTACTGCACTGTCTTCGGAGGCAAGGAAGAACAACGTTCCAGTCTTCATCTTTTCCCAAAACAGTAGGTTCTTTTTCCACGTCATATTTTGTTTTCCACAAAAAAACATAACTTTCACTGTCGTCTAAGCCAAACACAAAATCTTGCAGAGAAACTACTGAGCTTCACGTGTTTGAAATGTTCTTTCCCCAAGATACTGACAACCATTGGAAAAAACCCAGCTTTTTTAATCTTTTTATTTCCAAAACTTGACAGACTTTGAGAGTCCTCTACCAGCCTAATCTAGTTTATGAAAGATAAGGAGAACATAAGTCTGCTTCCACTACAGTGGATTCACATAGTAGTCACCCGGAGAGAAGAGCAGGAGCAGCAAGTCAGATGTGCCCAAGTTCAGTGTCAGGTAGAGCAGACAGTAACGAGATGGATGGGCAGAGTCTGTGCATGGACTTCGGTGGTCAGACACCCAGCTGTGCTGGGGGATACACAGGAGCACTGGCATTCTCTATTTTTATGTCAGATACAAAACAGATCTTGGGATAAACTACAGTGTTGCCACCAAGAGCATATACAGCCTCCTCCTGTAAAAGAAACACTGTATTTGCACACAAACAAGTGTAAACTCCTTCAGCCTCTTGGACACACAAATCCGCTTTTTGTTTGTGATCTGTATTGAAACCACATCCCATGAGAGATACACATCATCGCCCCCTTCCCCCCAGCCTACAATGAACGATGGCAGAAGCTCAGGGGAAACTTCTGATTTGCTCTAATGGATACTGAGTAACTGATCTTTCTGTAGCTGTAAGACTATATAGCAAAACAGCCAGATGCAGCGTAATTGTTTGGCATATGACATTTATTCCAGCTAGAGTGAGGGTGACCAGAACAGGCCACATTCATTATCTGCAGAGACAAAAAGATCCAGAACAAACAACGCACAACTGCAATAGAAGTACAGACATGGCCCAGGTCTCCGCTGCTCTTGCGCCTGCATCACTGCCCTGCTGGTTGCAGAGAGGCAGCAGCATGAAGGCACAGCAGCCTTCTGCTTCCGCACCTCTGTCACCATGGTCTGACTCCTGCAGTGTCAGCACCGCCGCCCACATCTGCTCGGGACTCAGTACCGCTGGCCCAGCACCACTGCCTGCAGCACAGCATGGGACTCCACACCCTGGTGTCAGCAGCTGTCGTCCACACGCCTGCAGCGTGGTCCAGAGCCCACTGTCCGCTGTCTGTGCGCCTGCAGCCATGCCCAGGGCTCGATGCCCGCGACCTCATTGCCACCTGTGCCCATGGTGCTGCTTGGGACCTGGTGCTAGCAACATGGGATGGCCACGGTGTCTGCAGTGCCAGCTAGAATCCAGTGCCTGTCACGGTGGCACCAAAGCCTTCGGCAGCCATGGTGGTAGTCCAGTCCACAGCCCCAGCGCCCATGGCTCACACACCTCCAGTGCTCCTTTGGGCCCATGACATGGACATCTGCTCTTGCATACACGCAGGATGACACAGGTCCCAATGCCCATGGCATCAGTGCCTGCTGCTTGTCCCTCTGCAATGTGGTCCGAGGACGAACGCTCATGGCATAGGTGCCTGCCTCTCACACCCGCAGTGCTGCCCGGTGCCTTCAGCATGACACACCTGCAGAGCCACTGAGGCCAAAGATGTGCCATCAGTGCCTGCTGCTCATGTACTTGCAGTACTCTCGGGGGCCTCATGGCAGCACTGGGCACACCTGACACTGGCCCAAGGTTTGCCGCATCTGTAACAGGACCCCCAGCTGCGTGCCCGAAGCACTTCCTGGGCAATGCCCACACGCTGGTCTCTGCAAGCGCATTTGGCCTTGTCAGGGTAAGTGCACCACATACAAAAGACCTAGATGATGCCAAGAACTGCAGCTACTCATTCTCTGGTTTTTGGTGGTAGATGTCTTGCTAGTTGCACTTTTTCCCCATTTTTGGTAATTTAACAGGTCAAGTTAGTAAAGCACACCAGACACGTGAGAGCTTGATTACCTTCAAGTCCAACATGTAAGACTCCTTTGTGTGGAAAGCTTTACAGTATAGGCATAGAAGATGCATGCCTTATACCAAACCGTAACCATGGCATGTCTTTGTGCACTCCCTTGTAATGCCATGGAAAGGAAACTGAAGTCGTCCTCCTGTGCCAGGACAGTCCATGTCTTCTCCACTTGCCTATAACTTCACACACAGAGGATGTGCAGGAGCTGCACACGCTCTGCCTACCAAGGGGTGGGAAACCAGGAGAAGCTGGCAGGTACACATCACTAACTGCACAGAAGAGGACTGGTTCCAGGTACTGACAACACAAGCACACATGCAGACAGGACAGTGCAGCAGAGACGTTTGCTCTGTCTTCTGCTTCGCTCACATGCTCTTTTCCAGTCTCATTTCACCACTGGAAGCTTTCAACATCAGAAAAGGCAAGATCCCAAAGTCCTCTGCAGCATGGCACTGCAAATGCTACAGCCCCTTGGAATTCTCTAGATATGCCTCGGCTTCTCTGATACTTGAGGCAGGAGCAAACGTCAAGTGTATTCTTCCTCACAAGTCTCTTACAACCTGTGCTGCAAAACATAACGGCTTAGCTGTAGTAACAGCAGCAGACACAAGGTTTCCCTCGTGCCTCCTGAGGTGTCAGCGCCAGAAGGGCTCTTAGAGGTGGAGCGGCCATGTCCCAATTGTCTCGCTTGAACGTCTCCGTTTGACTGGGGAGGTGGTGGTAGGGAAGAGACACAGACATTTAGCACAGGCCGCTGGGCTCATGCCCTAAAAGCCTGACCTTCCTAGTATAACTCACTGCTTCCAGGTACTTTACCTTCGTGCCGGACTGGACCTTGATGAAGCCTTATTCATATTTCTTCTTTCCACTGCTTTATTAATATCTGTAAAGAATAATCAACCCATCTGTTCAATGCTATGGAACAAAAAAAAGATCATCAGCACAATTCAAATGAAAGCAACTTAAGCTCAACAACATCCAGATGGTGCAAGAAATCCATTCAGCAGAGAGACATTGTCACTTTGACAATTTTTATTAAGTTTAGATAGTACAACATAATGAAATTTTCATGGATTTCTCTGACTTCAAAATAGGGTGGACAGCTTGGGTGAAGTTTTAACCTTCACGTTCAGGCCTACATCCAGACTCTTCATTCCATAAGAGAACCTCTTTCTTCTGCAGTCTATGAGCGAGCAGAAAGCGACTCATGGACTCTAGGAGAAAAAGCAGAGTCTGAAAACCTCCGAGAAAGGAAGCTGATGGCCAGCACAGTCTTAAGTTCACAGCCAGTCCTGTTCAATGGAGCATGCCGCTACCCTTGTTGAAAATAATCCAAGGGTTCTCAAGTAGCACATGCAACTGCCTTCCAAGGGACTGCTGCAGCATTAAGTTGCACAGCCTCCACCACTGAGGAAACAGGATCCAAGGAGCCTGAAGCACAAGCTCCTTATGAAGTCAACATGGTGCATTCAAAACACCACTGTTAACATGATGCAAACTGATGCAACAGATCAGAAATTTGAAAATTGGTTGGCTTCTGAGCATCTCCATGAAAAACACCATGAAGTGAAACAGAAAGAAGTGAGAGCTGAAGAAATAGAGTCTTGTCCTCAACCAGAAAAAGTGAAGTTGCCCAGAACTGGCAGGGGCCCATATTGTTCTACTGTGAAGAAACAAAGTCTTCCGTAACAGCTGATTGAAGATGAAATAATGTACTGGAGGGGGGCAAGAACAAACAGAAATGACTTCAGACATTTTACTCTGGGAGCCTTTTAAGGAAAAGAACAAAACAAACCTAAGTCCTATCTGCTCCCTGAGAATCTATCAACAATTAAAATTTCTTATTAGTTATATACATTAAATACTTCCAAAGCTCTTGCAAGAGAACAAACATGCCACAATGTGTTTAGGCAGACTCAGTCTTAACATCTGCTCTAACTTCCCAAACTATCCTTCACTACTTTCAAGATTAAAATCAGAATTAAAGGATTAGTTCTAATTTTTGCTCTTGTTGTCAATCAAGAAGCAGCATGTTCTTTTTGTGGGGGGAGAGAGGCAAGCGCAATCTGAACATTAACTACAAATGCAGCATAACAACATTCACAGGACCACACGGCAGTCTCTCCAGGATCAAATACAGCTGCATTGTCTACTGTCACAAACTAAACTTGATGGATATTTATTCCCTACATTTTACTCATTAAAGATATGAAAACACTTCCATGCATTTTTGGAAGTATTAGTATAATGCAACACTGGAGTTAAACTCTCCCAAAGCCTTTTACCTTATTGTGTTATTAGCAACTATATTTAATACTCAGACTGTTCTCCTTGCATTTATTTTTTAGTTGAGAATTTTCTCCCCTTAAAGTCAAGTGTAATCTTTAAGCAAGACACTATCTGCTTTCTTTGGTTTAAGATTATTTTTATTTTCTGTTTTAAGATGCCATTGCAGAAACCTATTATTTTTTTACACTCAATACCATACATTTCTTTCAAATAAAAAAATGTATTTAAATCTGAACAAAAATATTTTACTAGAAGAAAAACCACCTTTGACAGGGATCCTTCTCTTATGCAAAACGAACAGGTTCAACAACATTTTATTTAATGCCAGCAGCATTTACAGGTTAAATATTTGAACATTGACAAAACTTCAAGAAAAAAAAAAGTCTTCCGTCTTGTAGGATTTTGAGATGACAGGGCCACTGTAATCATACAGTGTAACCTTCTGAATAAACACAGGTGACAAGAGTTTCTTGAATCACATTCCTATCTCAAGTGCAGCAGTGCCATTGAACTAGAGCTTAACTTTTAGCAAAATATCCAATTCCAAGATATCCAAGAGCACAGGAACCATCAAACCTCAAGAAGTTATTCCAGAAGTAAATTACTTTGCTGTTAAAGAAAACTATTTCCATTTAAGGACTTGTCATGCCTATGCCTACTCACTTCTCTCCAGGTCTGTCTGTAACACACAGATCACATCACTCCTTTATCTTGAGGCTTTCGCTAGGGCTTGCTCTTCAACTCTTTAAGCCTTCTTCAGATTTTTCTGAGGCTTCTCCAATTTAGCATTATCCTTTTTGAACCAGGCTTACCAGAACTGAACACAGTATTCCAGCAGCAAAAACCCACAGGTACCAAAACCTCCCTACTTACAAATCTGTGTTTTGTACAGCTAAGGATGACAAAAGCACTCCTGCTAGGTGCAGATCTTCCCTTTCAGCTTTACTGAAAGCCCAGTTCTGCCTGCATCCAGCTTAGGAAGAAGTCCAGGTCATTTCACCATCAGTGACTCAATCTTCGTTATTTCATTCTCTCTTTTTAAAACATGATTGCATATTTTCTTTCCAAGTCACTTATAAAAGCACTGTATGGCCAGGAACCAATTTTTCCAGAACACCACTCAAAGCACCAAGGAACTCCATCTATGTTACACTGAGAATCATCTGAAATCCATCTAACCCTATGGTTTTTTTAATTGTTCTAGTTTCTTAATCAAATCAAACATCTTACAGAAGTCTTTTACATCAACACTGCTACTTCCAGCCATAAAACCTGCAGTATCATAAGAATAAGTTAGTTTGACAGGATTTATTTTTATTGGCATTAATTAATTCACTTCTCACTGAGAGTCAGGTGAAAGAATCCCTTTGTTACCAGGGGCTGATGCCAGGCTCGTCCCATTTACGCTGCCTATTGGCACATCCACAGCGCTCTGCTAGGTCCCTGGAAACTCCCTAGTTTTCCAGGGCTTGTGGAAAAACAACATTAATAGCCTAGGCAGGTCTTCATTTCGCTGACCCTCACAGACGTTAGCTAGATTTAATTTTTTGGAGAGGTCTAGTTTTGGTAGCTGCTGTTTTACCTTTTTTAGTTTGCTACTGAAATTGAAACTATTCCAAAACCAACACCTTCTGCCTCTTCAAAAATAGACAGCAGAAACATTAACTGACGACTTGGTGGTCCTTTCCAGTGAGAAATTTTATCATTTCCAGACAGTTACACCTCAGCTTCTAAAACAGCCGCAGTTGTACCTATTTAAGCTTCTAGACTTCGACAACGCTGGCCATAATTTCTTCTTGTATCCTTCTACCCTCCTTGTCTATTTGCCTCCACTTCCATCTTCAGGCTCGTATTTGCTACTGTACACACACCTTGCCACAAGTCATTATTTATTGCTCCTTTCATTCCTTCCTAAGTCAAACTGTTTTTCTTTAAATTAGCATAGGTTTACTTTGAAAGTAAATTTTTTGCTTGCATTTAATAGATTACTTATATTTCTAACCATTCATTTCTGTTTGTTTGCTCCCAGCATATTTAGCAGAATTATTTTCATCTTTATGAAAATGGCCTTTTTAAAGCACCTAGTATTTATAGCACTACTTACAGTTTGATTTCACATGTGCAAAAAAATCCAAGCTAAGGTTACTTATCTAAGAAGCTGCTAAGTGCTGTGACCAATTCGTCTGAACCTGTCAAGATGAAGCCCAATATTGGTTTACAAATGTTTTTAAAACTATGTGTATGAGGTTTCAATGACTTCTTTCCAGGGCTTACATGTTGAACAGTTTCTTACACAGCGTAATAGAGCTTTTCAAATACTAACACATACAAATAAGTTCAGAGTAAGACCTAGGTAGCAAGAGAAAACACTGCAGATGAACCACACAGCACTTACAGCAAATAACTCAGAAGGCAAATACATACCTAGTAAAAGTGATTTTAGACTAGCGCCAGGCAAGTTTCACATAGTGATCTTTCCAGAGAGCTTTAAAACAAAAGCACTCTTTCTACTAGAACGCATGCTAGGGTCAGTAGGAGAGCACGGATCAGTTTTCCTTACCTAATCTATACCCTTTATAAAGGCGACCCTTCTCACCGTCCAGAGCGGCCTGGACATCTTCTAGACGGTCATACTGCACGAACCCATAGCCATGGTACATGCTGAGGGCTGCAAAAGTTAACAGCAGGGCAAGACCGGTTACAACTAAGGGACAGTACTAACCCGCACCCAGGCCATCACGTAACCCCACCAGATGAACAAGCAAAGGGGCTCTACCCAGAAACGACTATGCAAGTTTCCTGGGAAAACCAAATCTACCAGGATCAAAATGCAGAGCTGAAAGACTGAAATGTACTTCATAGATCAACTTCCTTCTGACAAGGCAGTGACCAAAATACAGCCCATGAAGTGACCAAGATTTGATTAAGAGACTATGAAGTCACTTGAAAGAGTATTGTAACATCACACTGCAACCCCAAAAGCTAAAACATAGCTGATATATAGGCATTACGTTTCAGTTGTACTGAAGGAATCACTTTTTCAGAGAAAATACAGGCAGAGAAAATGATCATTAAAAGGTCACTTTTTAGGAACAACATTAGTCACTCCTCTCATCATCATCAAATAGCATTTGACAAGCATGAAAGTTATATTTCTCACTGAATTCCCAGCCACAAAAAGGCATAAGATAAAATACTAACCCCTGATTTTGCCATATTTTGAAAATATCTCTTCCATTTCTTCACGAGTCATGTGGTCTGTGGGCAAATTGCCGACAAAAAGTCTTCTCTCTAAATCCTGAGGGTTGGTGCTGTTAGTGAAGTCGCTCTGTTTGATGCTATTGCTCTTGCGTCCTCGAGCCATTTTGCTTTCGTTCCAAATCCAACTCTTCGCAAAAAAGAAAAACGGCCATGCATATAATTTCAATCCATGACATTAAAATTAAACTGGAACAAGATTAAACTTAACAGCTTTGCAGACTAGAGGCCAACTGGGTCTGCTTGACGCAAACTTCACTCCAGAGAAATCTTAATACAAGGGATACAGAGGTCTGGCAAAAACATATACCGCAGCATTTTGGTTGAGCTTTTCTGTAATACTGAAAGGTAGTAAACCTAATTATTTTGCAGATAAGTTTTAATGGTTTAACTCCAAACTAAGATACAAATAGAACTCATTTTCCACTAAAACATCTTAACTTTAAGCTTTCCAATACACCCATTGTTGTCATATCTATTTCTTCAGTACACTGGTAAGTAGTGTTGAAATTTATGCAATATTTTAATAAGTGGAAGGGAAACACTCATCACAACATTGCATAACAGGACCCAAATATTTCAATACAGGCTTTGAATGAGACATCAGGAAGTACTGCTTAAATGCTCTTAAATGACTATGCTTGGATCACTTTACTAAATGTGAAATCTTAGCTTTCCAATACCAGAAACACAGTTTCTTATTCATACCCCTACTAAACACCATATCCTTGTCCCCATACAGATGTCAGCTCCCACAGAAGGCGGGTCCACAGCTGGGAATTTAACCACCCGCAGGTAAATGCTGTACTGCTACCTCATCTCCCCCAGTACCGCAAAAGTACACTTCGTTAACCCATACTATTGCAGACAAAGCTGGAGCAGTCAGCAACATTCACTGCACACACTTACCCAAAGAATTACAGTAAAAAAACCCAAAAAACTCTACCAAGCCAACAAACCCCACCCAGGATTCACACTTTCTGGTTTAAAAGTCACCACTATACAAAGCTTAAGAAAATATGAAAAACACTTGAAACCTTCAAGATGAACTTGAAAGTTTGAAAACTATTTAATAAAGTTGTCATACTTCCTAAACATTCATCTACAGGACTGCAGGATAGGATTTTCTGTTTATAACATGCAAGAAACATGGAAAAAGAAAGCTGATGAAATTGAGTATATCAACAGAAACGTCTACTGTTAATCATGAGATGCCTACGACCAACACACTCCCTAACTGTAACCTATATTCGTTACAATTTAAAAGTAGCCTCTAAAACAAGCCAAACATCCAAAAAATATTAAACAGTTTTACATAAATACTTCCACAACACTTAACTGACATGAAAAATACATCTACTCCAGGTTTGAGACAGAAGATTTTGGGGTTTTTTAAGATCAACTTTACATTCGTATCCCTTTTCTCCTTTTTTTAGGAAACCCTGCAGGGATGGGAGGCAGAGAACGCCTCCCAGTCTGATGAACTTTTTAAAATTAACTGAGCTGCCAGAACAGGGAGGAGGAAAAAACCCCCAACACTGAAACCAAAATCAAACAAAAAAAGTAATTTCTTCTACCATGTTTGCCTCAATCTTCCTGTAAGTTTGTCCACACACACACACACTTTTACCTTCCCCGTCAGAAGTACCAAATCTTGTCCCATTTTTCTACATGGAAGCACTAGACTTTTCTGTGCTACTGTTGCAGCTCAAGTTCTCACCAGTTGAGGGGAAAGAAGTTTTCAAATTCTCCCAAAATGATTAAGTGGCTATAAAACATAGAAATACCCATCTGGTCCAAGTTCCCATTCAGAGTAGGGTGACGTCCAAGTTGCATCCTGTTGTCACGGTCTTCTCCAGCCAGGCTCCGAGCATTACCAGGACTCGGAGCCCCTGAGAGCACCTGCTCAGGCAGCACGGCCTGTACGTACGGTCTCGGGACATCACGTATATGCACAGCAAACAAGACCTGTAACTGCTGCTGGCGGGACGTTTCACTTTCAGTATAAAAAGCAGTAAGAAATTCCCTTTTTTTTTTCTTAAGGTTGGGGATAGTAGGGGGTGGTTGGGGAAGAGGGTGCAAGAGCTTTCCATATGAAGAAAAACAGGGAGCTATTTTTCCACTTGCAGGTCACTTTCAGAACAAAGCAATAAATCCCAAAAATTTTGGGACTTATTTGGGACAACTCAGACAGGTTGAATTACTAGAGAACTTTCAACTTTCACATAAGAGCATTTACTGTCTCTTACCACTTTCCACTTGGTAGATTACATAGTTAAGGGCCATGTAGTAATCATAAGACCAGAATAAGTGAATGTTGCCCCAGCTTTAGGCATGCTACACCAGGTGCAGGACTAATTTCCACATTAAGTCTTTTTCTATGACTGCAGCTAGAGAGGTCAAATACGTGCCTGGGCAACCTAAAGGTGCCAATCCCCCGTGCAGAAACCGAGCACCAGGCTGAGCGGGTTCCTACAACAGGACAGCCCATGTCAGCTCACATGCCAATAAATCCTCTGGAAGTTAATTAAAGCCACGTTTCCCTAAAAATCTTGTATTTAAAACCAAGATTATTTATTAATAGTGCTACAGTTTCAGAAAGCAAGACACAGCTGAAGTGGGATGTTGAAACTAATTTGACACAAGCGAAACATTGCCCAGAGTCTGCAAGAAGTTCCTGGGCAAGGCAAAAAAAATAAAGCCAACCACTACGGAAAGGAACGGTGCTGAGGAGCAGCGAGCTTCCCACCCAGCACCAGCTAGCGGCGCTCGGCGCCTCGGAGCCAAGCCCCGCCAGGCAG